TAAATCAGTAGAAGAGGCAAGAGATGATGACAGAACTTCAAGTGATGAACATAGAGAAGACAGATGTGATAAAAAGATACCTAACGCACTACAACAATTCCCAGTCAATGTCAACGGGAGAAATGTGAAGAAAGTCACTTCTCTAAGCAGCATCGTTTCAAATACAAATGCCACAGATGAAGATGTCGAAACCAAAAGCAGAAAGGAGAGGTGAACCTTCGTCATGTGAAAGGAAAGGCGTTCGGAGAAGAGTTACTCTTTATGACGGTATCATTCTCATGCTGTACTATCGCATATATATATATACGTTTTAGATAACAAATTTCGTTAATTGGTTAGAAACTAAAATAAGATTAAAAATAACCAAGTTGAGTGACGTCATCTAATTGACGTGGTTGAGTAGAGCTCAACTAAAATTAAAATTGAACGAAAGTCAAGTTAACAACATTGGTACTACCAGTACTGATATCTACCAGTTCAACTGCACTTGTGGAGCGATTTATATTGGCCGTTACTCTAGGAACTTGATTTTTCGTGCTCGAGAACATTTCCCAATATGGCTAAGTAAAGGTGTAGTAAAAACCATCTACAGTTCGATATTAGACCACCTGGTTTAAACCGGCCACAAAGCTAGTTAGCATTGAAGAATCCTTCTCCATCATCTACCGGATACCAAATAAATTTCCAAAAACAAGGAGGTGCCACATACTCCAAACAGCAGGGGCTATCGCGATTCGCCTGAAACAACCAGTGCTTTGTGTGCAGGAGAAGCAAGTCCAGCCAGCCACTACTACTGGCTTGGCCAGCCTTCAGTGGAAACTAGAAATTCATGAATTTGTATTATTGCTATCCTTCCTAATTTTTCTGATATTCAGTGTGTAGTGTTATGTTGATGCTATCGAACTGTAATCCACTGATACTATTATTATTGATTCGATGTTATTTAAACAACATTAATGTTGTTAATAACACTAATTCATTCATTCACTATTATGGATGGATATATAACTGTAGAACCTGATGATGAAGAGCAGGTTATCGAAAATGTGAATATTCTTTGTTCAGTAACCATTCTTTTAAATCAATAAAGACTTACTTCATAAACTGCTGCATTCGCGTGAGGATTACGATGAGTTACATGTCTTAAGGCGGAACAAATTGGTTCAGCAATTTCTTGACGATCAGGATTTAAGCATAACAGTCTACATAAGACTTTTACACCACCTGTAGGCGAAAAAGATTGAGAAAAAAACGATAGAAAAGGACTGTGTAAAATGAAGTAAGAAGATTTCATAATAATTTAGTCAAATAGTCTGTGTTCAATGAATCTGTCATGTATGACGGAGAAGATTTTTAGCTCAGGTGGATGGATTTGATGTAGTTGTGTTCTCTGAGCTGGATGGTTAATTTGCGAAGCTTTCACAAGTGAAGAGGAATCCAAGAACAAAATCTCACTCTTGGATGTCATAGTCAAGCGAACAATCACAGAGGAAAATTAGAAACTCAAGTTTATAGAAAATCAACACACACCGACCAAATACTCAATAACAACAGCAACAATCAAATAACACACAAAAGGAGTTGTATACAAACACTATTCAAGACAGCGACATTGCAGCACTCCCTACCTTAAGGAAAATCGAAGAAAGATATTTCATGGACGTCTTCTAAAAGAATGCATATCCACGAAAGTTAATCAAAAGACATCCATCCCCAAGCAAACCTACCAAATCAAAGGCCCCAAGGAAACCACAAAGAAAATCACCCTACCCTATTTAAAGAACATCTCAAAAATCGATGCAAGACTCTTCAAACCTATGGGAATTGACGTCACACACAAACCAACAAAATCACTCTACTGGCTCTATGTCAACCAAAAGACTCAACAGCAAAAGAAAATAAGACCAACATCACCTAAAATATAAGTTGCAACGACTGAGAAAAAACACTACATTAACAAAAATGGGCGTCCCTCCTCTTCGTCTTCGTATCCATGAAAATAAGCTAGCCATCAAAAGACATGACATCCACTCCCTCATATCGCCTCACTGCACACAACTACGGACATCAATTCGACTGGGACAACGTTCAAATATTAGACAGAGGAAACACAAAGAATGCTAGAGAATTTTTAGAAGCCTACCTGGTATTCCAGTGAATAGTCAGGTAATAGACACATTGACATAGAAAAAATTTATCAATCGATAAGAAGGAAATCTCATACACAAAGGGTCAAACTTCAGGTCAACGAAACAATCAGTACTAATACAAGTAGCCTAGAGAGTGTGAAAACACACATAAACAACCAATCACGCTGTTACTCTGAGCCCCCACTTTACTCCTGCCTATCTTTAAGCTAGGAATGAGTCGATGTAGTCTAGTTCTACAGCAAGCATCATCTTACATTTGACGAGAGCGACTCACATGCCAAATATTCGAAGATTGTTGACTAATATAGTACTTTTCACAACTGATTCAATTTATTTTGCAAATGGTGTTGATTTTGTCTTCTTTGCTGTGTGTCTTTCTTGCATGAAGTGATTGTGTTTGTTTGCATACAATATCTATTCCGAATGGTTTCCTAGTATTCTAGCCCTTATTTGATCATATTAGATGGTTGGGAGCTATCGGCAGGAAGCCCTGCCTGACCTAGGTTTCGTGCTAGTTGGCACTCACCAGTCAGTCAACAAGGCGTATCTGCAACCTTGAAGGCACTCATGTCCCTTCTGAGATTCGAACCCGCGTCACCCAGTGCTGCAGTTCGAGACGTTACCACTGAGCTATTCGGGTTCGCAATTGACCTCCTGTAGGACTATTCAAGCCCCTATCTCAGAAATATTCTTGTGGCTTCAGTGTGAAGCTTTGTTACTCCTAGTCTTATCCAAGTATCGACATTTTTTGGATAAATTTGAGAAAACATCCTTTTTTCTAGAAGCCAGTCAGCAAGATATTACCTTTCTATTCTCCTTTACACAGGGGTTCTATAGTATGTGTCTTGGTCAAACTCCACATCAGTCAAGCGATCAGTAACAATATCGATTAACACAAGGATAATAAAAACCTCTGAAGACAACTAATCACAGCCAAGGTCATCAGCAGAGACCGTCACATCATTTGCTACACACTGACTCAAGGGTCAAGTTAAAGGACAGCAACCTAAAGGGAGGAGGTAGGAGGAATGCACCAATGACCTTGAATCTCACAAGAGGATCAAGTTAGTGAAACCAGGTGAAAGACAAAACATTAGTAGGTCAGGGAAAGATCAGCGGGTTAGGACTGAGTAAGTGACTCAAATTTGCCATTTGACAGCGACTGGTAGTATCAAAGTAACTGGTACTCCTCTGGTTTCCTTCAACTTTGCCGATTTTAACGCTGAAACTGCACAACTGAACCACCCCTATCAGAGAACACAACCACACCAAGGATTAGTGAGAATAATAATGATAACACTAATAATAAACTTACCCTTTTCAACAAGTAAACTTTTATTCTGAACATTTTGACAGGTTAAATTACACAGACAACCAGTGGAACAAATCGATATATGCTCATTTTTACTGGCTAGTAGAGTGATTAACATTGGTATCAGATTTTTTGTCGCCAATAAATGATAAGCTTGATCACTGATATTACGTAATCCCCAAAGTGTTTCCAATTGTAGTACTTCATTTGTACAATTCAACAGAGGAGTTAACGCCTAAAATTTAACGAATATGTATATATTGATTTTTGTAGGGATTTTGATTGATTGGTTGGAGGATTTCATCATGGACTGACATCAGTTAGTGAACCATTCAAAATCAGGGAGTACTGCCAGACAGCTGTTCCATCAGCCTAGTTTAGGACTCTTCAGCGGTAAGCACCCACACCAGGGTGTTCGAAACCACGACCTACTGGTTGCAAGGCTAGCGAGCACGTAAACCATTCAGCCACCGGGACTCAATCCAATGGCCAGCCCATGAATTCTAACTTCTGCCAATTCATAACATAGCGCGACCATTTCGCATTGTCTTCGAGTCCCGGCGGGTACGTACTGTTGGAGAATCCCAAACTAGGACGAAACGACTATCCAGTACTCCCAGCTGGTTTTCCAATGGTTCTCTGACTGATGTCAGCTCATGATGAAACCCTATAACGAATATGTATATATATGTAAAAATATATTAATCTGATGTAAGATTAAAAGGATTTCAGAACTGTTGTGATAGTAGTATAATGACAGAAGATAAGGGAATGGATAACGGACTATTTTTACGCACTTTTAACCACATTAGAACCGGATAAGGTCAGAGGACAACAAACTCTCCTGATTGGTTGGTGATTGACCCAAAGTTAAAACAATAAGACAAAAAGTTATCCAATGAGATTATTTTTTCTGACCACACTGTGTAAACTAGATCCAGATGTGATGAATTAAAACACTGCTACCTCTGTAGCTAGCTAGCTAGCTGCTGACTTAAAATGTTGATTTCAATTTTAACCGCTTCCTATAAATCTGTATACACATATCTATATATACTACTTATAAATCTTGTGAGTAGCACACGTCATGATAGCAGATAATTGCATATTAGATAAGTTCATTGGACATAATGTATAGTACTGGTGGCCTGGTTGGCGCACGATTTCATTCGATGGCCTCTTCAGCCTGTGTATGCCCGATCAATCCATCTCCATTTTCCCCTACATATATATTTGTTGCGCAATCTGCTCTCGCCTATTGGTTCGTCACCAGCCAGAGATTTTTGTGTTACTAATTCTTTCCACTGGCCATTTGATCTTCAGTAAGGAGCCAGCGAATTGGGCAGCTGTTGACAAAAGTATGTAGATTGTTGGAAATCTTTTCCGTGACACACAGGCAGTGCAAGTTTCTGACCCGTATAGAAGAACTGACTGACTGACTAATTTCACATTTGTGTTGAACAGAATCCGAATCTTGTTGTTCAACCTGGCTGAGTGAGTGAAGTAGAAGATTTCCAAACTGATTTCAGGTTGATGAAGGCGTCATTTCGCCTTTCCGATTCTGGCTGGCTGGCTTTGACATCCTCCCCCGCCCAGTGTGACTGTGGTTGAAACCGTGCTTCCTGGCCTGATAACTGAAGGAAGTAACCTCTGTCAGATCTCTCCGGTTGATGGTGACTGGTGATGGTTGTTGTTGTTGGTTGATTGGTTATCTTCATCACTTCCGTCTTCTCTATGTTCATCGCCTCGAGTGCTGTCTTCACTGGCTGCGTCTTCTGCCAGTTTGTGTGACATTAAACATAAAACATCCACGGGAGAGTTCAATATCTTCTAGAGTCTTCTTATGGGTGTGTCCAACGTATTCCTATCTTCTCACTTCCTGTGCACAGTCTTTCGCATAATCTAGTCGACCACAATACTCAGGAATATCATCGGAGGTAGTAGGCAACTCCTCCATTCACTTCAAAGTTAGGCTTCCCTAAGTTTTCCGTTATGGATCACCTGACACGTGGCAGGCATTGTCATATAGCCAGCTGTTGAGTGAGATTGATAAAGCCTTAGGGGCACTGCACTCCATAGTGTCTAATGAAGTCATAAATTCAATCAAAGGAGAGTAATTCTTTTAGATAAAGCAATAAGAAGACGTAATTTGTCTGAATCGTGTATTGTATGTGTTTGCGCAACACATTTCGAACGATCTGACCACACACACAGACTTGTCATAGGAATATATATGAAAATAATAAAGAGTTAAGACATGAGAAAATAGACTTGGGTCAAGTTAAAAGGACACATTCAAGGTCAAAATAACAATGAAGACCACTAAACCAAATAGCAGAGGTAATAGTACATCTACCCTGGCTAGTATCAAAACAAAGTTTACCAAGGAAGGTTTAGTGTGATGATGACGAATTGTCGCTTTGAACGCATAAAGGTGGTTTAAACTTCCTAATTGCCAACTAGGGCTTCCAAAAACTTTAGGATACGCCCCAAACACATTTTATAGATAGGTTTAAAAGATCTGTTAACGTCAATTTTATGTCCTGTCTCTATAATATGTTTCGCAATAGAGGAGCTAGGTCTCCTGTTCTCATCATTAATGGGTTCTGAAGATTCCATTTGTTTCTGGAGCCATTTAGGAATATGCTCTGAAGCCCTTACTTGCAGAGATCGATGAGTCCTCCCTATGTATGTGTGTCCACACGTACATTCAAATTGGTAAATACAGTGGGATGTGACGTCATTTTTTGCATGTTCAAAGGGTTTAGATGGATGGATATATTGGCTTCACATTCTCAATTATTATGATATTAGCTGCATAAAAAGTCTTTTGAACCACAGCAGCGTTCAGTCTTTGTCTAGTTATCAAGCTGCTTTGATGCCCCACATAGGGTAGCTTGATGTACACGTCCTTCTTAGGGGAGAGTTGGAAAGTGGGTCTTGGTGTTCCCCTGACTACTTTATATCTCTTGATGAACTTGTCTGGATAACTGTTATCAACCAGAGTTTGTGTCAGCTTTCCTTCTTCATCAAGTGTGTCTTCAGTGCATATTCGTTGGATTCTACTGAAGAGAGGTACCTTACTTTATGGTTCTGTAAAGCAGAAAGTATTGGCGGGAAATAATCGTGTTCAGCTTTTTATTTAAGATATCTACTGAGTTCAATATCGTCATACTTGGTCACATTACACCTATCAATCAAGAAAACAGTTACAAATCTCACAAATACAAACGACACCAATAATATTAATACTCATCAATCGATCAAATATAACTTACAGGATTTCATCATGAGCTGACATCAGTTAGAGAACCATTGGAAAACCAACTGGGACTACTGAACAGTCAATTGTTTCCCCATTCCTGATTTCAGACTCACCGGAGGGGGGTTACAACCCAGGATCGTAGATCATTCAGCCACTCGGACCCGATCCAATGAATTCCAACCTATATACCGTGACTGGCGATATCCATCCAATGGTTCTCCGGCTAACCGATTATTATTATTGTTTCCTTTAATTCCTAGAGGAACATAGGGCTTCAGCCGTGCGTCTCCATTGCGTTCGGTTCTCTGCTAGAGTCTTCACCTGGCTCCAAGTCTGCCCACACGTTTTCATCTCCTCTTCACATGACCTCCTCCAAGTCACCCTTGCACTGACGACCAACTCGCCGCTTCCCTTTCAGCCGGGTTCCACTCGAGCAATGGCTTGTCTAGTGATGTCACTTGATGGTTTCCTCAGAGTATGGCCAGTCAATCCATCTCCATTTCTTCCTGCCTATTTGTTTCACAATCGGTTCCTGCTAGGTTGGTTCGCTCATTGCCAGAGATCTCTGTTGCTGATGTTTTCTGGCTGGCCATCTGATCTTGAGTATTGAGCGAAGACAACTGTTAATGAAGGTCTGTAGTTTGTTTGAGATGCTCTTTATGACGCGCAGTGCAAGTCTCTGATCCGTATAGTAGCACCGACTGACTTCACATTGGAGTTGAAAATCCGGATCTTATTTTTGATGCTGAGAGTGCTGTTGATCTCCACACAGACTTGAGAGTAGTGAAAGCTCGTCTTGCTTTTCCGATTCTTGCTTTGATATCCTCGTCAGTTCCGCCTGTAGTTGAAACGATGCTTCCCAGGTAGGTAAAAGAGGCTGTTTCTTTCAGGTTCCTCCCATTTATGCTGATTGTTGTCTGTTGTTGTTTTTGCTGTTGGTGGTGTTGCTGTTGAACAGGAATCTTCATCACCTCTGTTTTCTCTATGTTCACCTCACCTGAAGTCCTATCTTTGATGCTTCTTCTGCTAACTTGTTGCTTTTCGCTTGCATATCTTCCAGTTTGTGGGAAATCAGACATATATCATCGGCGAAGTCCAGATCCTCCAAGGTTTTTGTTTGAGTCCATTTTATGCCTGTTTCCTCATTGCCCGCTGTTTGTCGCATTATCCAATCTACTGTAATCAGGAAAATCATTGGCGATAGTAGGCAGCCAGCCTTGTCTTACTCCTGTCCTCACTTCGAAGGATTCCATAAGTTTCCCGTTGTGGATTACTTGGTATGCAGCATTGTCGTACAGCTGTTGAATGAGATGTATAACTGTCGGTGGCACCCTGTAGTAGCGAAGTAGTTTCCAAATCACCTCTCGATCGACGCTGTCGAATGCCTTTTCAAAGTCCATGAAGTTGAGATAGAGAGGTGACTGCCATTTCAAGCTTTGCTCAATAATGATCCGTAGTGTGGCGATCTGATCAATACATGACTTGTTTCTCCTGAATCCAGCCTGTTCCAGTCGAAGTTTTTCATCCAGTTCGGCGCGTTTGATTCTCTCCAGGATGATGCGGCTTATTATTTTGCTTGGGATGGACAGGAGCATAATTCCGCGCCAGTTCTTGCATTGACTTAAGTCTCCTTTCTTTGGTAGTTTGAATAAGTAAGTATCCTTTCTTCCAATCCTCGGGTACTTTGCCTTCTTTCCACACCTTCTCCAGTAATGGTGTCATCAAGTCCGCTGGTGTTTCTGGGTCGATTTTCAATGCTTCTGCTGAGATTCCATCTAGCTGCTAACTGATGTCAACTCATAATGAAATCTACCGGTAAATCAACACTCGAATAACTAAATAACTAACTAACTGACTTACTTCTACAGCCCCAGCTTCAACCAACTTGATTTTATTCTCATTGCACACGCTTAACACCTTGATTAATCTAGCTATATTATATGCTATTTTCGCATTGTTCGGATAAATTCTCAACAGGCGTACAATAATTTCATAAATCGATGTTGATGTTAACGACAGCTTTGTCTCACTACTTTCATATACAGCCATACGTAGGGTATCTAAACAGATGAGCAACCAATTTGAATCTTTTAAACTGTTTGTCTCCAGTAAATAAATTAAATTCAAGTGTCCATTATACTGTCGAAATTCTGGTCGAGCAGAATTAGGTAAATGCCATAATAATTGATTCAATACATACAAGGCGGTTGTATACATCACTTCAGATGGATGCCTTGAAAGAGAAATTGAAAACAAGAAAAGAAAGACAAAAGACAAACAAAAATTGTCAGTGGATAGTTTTACGACAGTGGAATGAATGACTGAGTTCTGCACAACGTACGTGTGTACGTACGTCCGTACAAGACCATGTGTTCTTGACCAAGTTTATTACTAATATAGCAAAAATATTTATTCAGACATTTAGAAAAACACACAAAAAATTGAGCAAAGAATATCCTTTTCGATAATCTCCCCTTCTGGCTCTACAATTATATATACATATATTTATACTGCATGGTGGATTTCATCATGAGCTGACATCAGTTAGAGAACCGCTGGAAAACCTGGGAGTACTGGACAGCTGTTTCGTTTCAGTTTGGGACTCTTCAAACAATTCAATCAAACAAAATCCCCACAAAACCAATACTTGAAAATTATTCTGATGCTCACTAGTGACTGGCCCTATTCAGGCAGTTAACCTGGGGTTCTGGTGGGAAGCCGTGACCAGTAGGGTACAGGAGGTTGAAGATGAGGCAGTAACTCATCGAAAAAGACATTGCGAAATGGTCGCGCTATGTCGTGAATTGGCAGAAGTTAGAATTCATGGACTGGCCATTGGTTCTGGTCCCAGGGGCTTAATGGTCTACGAGCTCTCTGGCCTTGTAACCAGAAGTTCCTGGGTTTGAACTCAGGCGGTGGGCGCGTACTTATGAAGAGTCTCCGACAACAAGGACGAAAGAGCTGCACAGTACTCCCAGCTGGTTTTCCAATGGTTCTCTAACTGATGTCAGATCATGATGAAATTTTTCAACCAAATAATATTGATTTGTCAAGTAGGATCAGTAGAATTACAGTTCACGAAAGATGCATAAATCATAATGAGCATACAAATATAATAGTAAATAGAATATCAAATAAAATTAAGGAAATTTCCACGACCAGTTGAGGCTCATTAAAACTTTGATGGCCAAGGTAAGGATACTGTTTGAACCAGCTTCTTTGGGATATATAAGTAAGGTTTCTTAATGTAGATCCTAATGTAGTAGACGAACTCTTAAGGTGAAGCTAAGATTAGTTGGTATGCGGTAAATGACGTTGATTGCTCCTGTGGAGTGAGCCAGATACTCGCATAGGCTGTACAATTAGGCATGTTTCTCGTCTGATTTTCTAACATAACCCCGCGTGGTTAAGTTAAGGACAAACAAAATCCATTCATCGGGTTATTCTATCTCATCTTGTGGATACAGAACACAAGATTGATGTCAACGAGGCGACTTTCAAAGTCATCTCTACCACATACCAACTAATCTTAACTTCACCTTAAGAAGAGTTCGTCTGCTACATATTGCTGAGGCTGGCCGTTGGAATCCACATTAAGAAGCCGAACTTACGTATCCAAAAGAGGAAGTTGGTTCAGACACTGTTCTTAGTTGCCTTTATGAATCTTCAGTGAACTGTAATTCCATCTCGATCTTACTTAAAAAATCGATAGTATTTAAAAAGCACACCAGTATTGTTAATGACGATCATTCTAGAATAATCTTCTGCATGTGCACTGCTGAACAACGAACAAAACAATCGTCTAGTGTTCCCCAGTTTTCAATGATTCTCACGCCATTGTAATATACTACTGACTAATTGTTATCAGTAGTCCAATTACCTCTCCTTTTCTACGAACTATGGAAAAGTTACTCTTAATTAATCTTCAAGCTTCACTAAAAGCCTTCAACGATCCCAAACAATTCGCCTATAAACACAGTAGAGGTACTTTAGATGCAGTTGCAGTCCTGTATCATAACATTGTCTCCAGCTTAGACAAGGGCGCTAAATTTGTTCGCTGCACCTTCCTAGATTACACATCTGCTTTCGACTCAGTACCTTAGTAGGGATATTTTGTTAAACAAGCTTGCTGAAATTCAAACTGACTGTTGGATTGTCAAATGGCTGAATTCTTATTTCTCAGGAAGAAAGCAGTACACTGCATGTCAGTCAGGGAAAGTCATCCACTTCTTTGCTTACTGAGGCTGGTGTCCGTCAAGGCACTGTCCTTTCTCCTTTTCTGTTTTCTTTCTTCTTGCATGACTTGCCTCATTCTGATGAAATGAACTTTGTTAAGCATGCCAACGATCTAACTATTTCAATGTCTGTTAACTCCCAGCTAGACTGTACTAAGATGAACAGCTTTCTATCAGGAATTAGCAAGTGGTCTTTGTCTAATGGCCTTAAACTAAATCCTTCCAAATGTCAAACTGTTAGTTTCAGTTTTAGATGTAAAAGAAAGTTAAATGAAGCCGTTGGTTCCTATGACCCTTGCAAAATTGATTATACTGATATAGAAACCACGTCTGACTGAAGTTAAGTATCTTGGATTAATTCTTTCTTCTCACCTATCCTGGGCTTCCCATGTCTTAGCGATTTCTCAAAGAATATTTCGTCTGACTTTTTACATTAAGAAGTTAAGGCACTCAGGCATAATTCAACCCCTTCTCCTCTTATAGTTTGTCAACTCGTGTAATTTACCTATTCTTCTTTACTGTTCACCCTTATTCCTTCCTGGATTGCTTAAAATAGACTATACCATACTTCGCAGAACTCTGAAGACTGTCGGTCAGTAGGACGAGTGGTATCCCATTGTACCATATCATTCACATTGTCACTGATAGGCACTTGATGTCATGCAACAAATTTGCTAAAGCAATTTTGTCAGACTGTGAGCATCCACTTTAGTTACTCGCAGCTCCAACCTTGTATCTCCTCAGGTAAAACAAGAAGTCTTTTCAGAAGACTTTATGCACGTACGTCTAAGTACGAAAATTCCACTATACGATATTTGGCAAGTACTTTATTTGATGAAAATAGTGTTAGGCATGAACTAATTAATTAATCTTCTTTGCACTAATAAATAAACCATTTCCTCCACCCTTACAGCATCAAGCTTTATTGTTATTGTACTTCTTATATTTATAATCCTCTCAATTTTTTTATTTTTATTTATTTATTTTTTCATAAGTGTAAACATCATTTAAGCTGTGTTATAACTGTTAATTTTGTATTTCCCTTCACTATGCTGCTATTTCAACAGGACATTAGATTCAATAATCTATAACATGCTAAAATTTCCAAGCTGAATCGACAATACTGTTTGAAACAAACTCACTGTTATTATTATTATTATTATATTTAATATTCACAATTCGTGCTTCGAATACTTTTGACTTTATATCGTAAACGTGGTCAAATTCCTCTGGTTAATTTTGTTTTAATTTTTAATTTAATTTATATTTTAAGTAAATCAGATGCTAGATATTGTGACAAATTCTGAGAATTCCATTCTGTATTATAAGTACTGTTTTTGGAATAAAGTAGATTATTATTATTATTATTATTAAAATACCACTCACATCAACCAGTAGTGCTTGTCAGCTAGCCAGATTGAAGGGATCTACACATCACACTGGACAGCGCTGTTCCACACGCTGTTTCATCACCAGTGTATACCCACCCACCCAGTTGAACTCAGCTCAAAGAGTCGAATCAATTCAAACCATCCAGCGTTTAGATCACTGCTATATTCTGGCTAGCTGGCAAGCACTCTTAACCAATCAGTAGTACATGGTTGTTTTATGCTGACGGTCGATCAATAATGGTGAGGTCGTCATGGCTGCACACACTGTTAAACAGTCCGAAACTAGAACGAAACAGCTGTTCAGGGTGATTCCTTAGTTGTTTTATGACCCAACCTATCTATATTGGCATGAATTCAAGTTGTTGAAAAAAATAAATAAACTTAAATCTGAGAATCAATCAATTATCATTAGTATTTCTGTTATTGACAATTAAAATCTTATAAAAGTAGATAATTTATAAGGGAAAAACATGATTTCATTTCTTCTTTTTGTTGTTAATATGAACTTTTATTGAACACATTGAATAATTTAACATGATATAAACAAGTGCCAAATTCCGCTCAGATTAATCCTTAAAAAATTTAGGTTTCAAATAAATTTACCCATTTTGAAAGGTTGCTATTATCAATAATCAATATCAAATATAGTGTCATTGGAAACCTTGAAAATCTGGAATAGCTGCTTTAGTTTCACCTATAAACTTCTAAAAGTAATTCCACATTAGTTTGTTTATTAGATGTATCACACAGTCAGCGAAACAGTATTAGTATTTACTGGATGACGTTTCGAACAAAATTTATCGCTGTTCATAATCATATCAATTGTAATCACACGACTTCGAAACTTGAGTTTTATAGTTTTCTTTGTCTTCTCCTATTTGTCGTCGTCGGAGTAGTAGAACTTTCCAGATATCCAGGTGAACAGGTGTTGAATCATTTCTATTACATGTGTTTGCAGTTGATTCGATAAACAAAGCTTCTGTTATCAATCTCTCCCTATACCCTGTGACATTAGATTTTAAAACTGTCATCCTATCCCATCCTATTGTATGGTTGTGTGTGACTGCATGTAGTGCTATAGCTGAACTATTCTCTAGATTTCTTATATATTTGGGTCAACCAATCTAGATTTTGCTAGTTTTTTATGTTCTGCTAGTCTGACTGCCCCTGTTGGTTGACCCAAATATATAAGAAATCTAGAGAATAGTTCAGCTATAGCACTCACTACATGCAATTACACACAACCATACAATAGGATGGGTGGGATAAGATGAATGTTTTGAAATCTAATGTAACAAAGTGGAGGGAGAGATTGATAACAGAAGCCTTGTTTATCGACTCAACTGCAAATACGTGTAGTAGGAATGATTCAACACCTGTCCACCCAGATATCTGGAAAATTCTACTACTCCGACGACGACAAATAGGAGAAGACAAAGAAAACTATAAAACTCAAGTTTCGAAGTCGTGTGATTACAATTGATATGATTATGAACAGCGATAAATTTTGTTCGAAACGTCATCCAGTAAATACTAATACTGTTTCGCTGACTGTGTGATACATCTAATAAACAAACTAATGTGGAATTACTTACTACCACACCACA